AGAAATATAAGCAGATCAAACAATTAATAGATAATTTAACTAAACAATAATACAAAACAAACAGAATACTCTCAATTGATTAATTTTTAAAGCAATACACATAACAATGGTCATTCCAACACGTCATAATTTTAAATTTGTTGAATTTCTCCTACATTAAAAATAACTATTAATTATGGTTAGTATCTATCTGCTTTAAGGCGTCCGTGCCTTAAAGAGAAACGTCATAGGATTGCTTTGGTGTCCTTCTATCAAAACTCTTTTTCTCAGGAAGGGGTAAAGGTATTAAATTAAAATTAATTTCAAACTCTTAAGGTTTATGGTCCCTTGGAAGTTTAAAAAATCAAGCTTCTATGTCAACGCATTCATAAGATACGGCCTTTATCACATAATATTTTAATATTCTCAAAACTTCCTCATCAAAACCTATGGAAGAGGTATTTTCCTTTGACCTAGATTCATAAAATGTGGCAAGAAGCTAGGTCTAACAACACAAAAGAAAAAAAATCTAAAATGGATTTATGGAAAAATAGTTTTTCCACTGTAAAGTTAAGTTTGTCCTTCAATTTAGATAATCCTATGCGGAGTATAATCCAAAAACTTATTTATTTATTTAATATTTTACGTACACACACAATTACAGAAAAAATGAAGTGTGATACACTGCAGCCATTTTGAAATTTCTTCAAGGAGGTATTATTAAAGCATATTCCAAAAAATTAGTAGACTGCACTTTAATGCAACTAATTTATCTAATATATTACATAATTTAACAAACACACGTAACATAAAAAGAGAAAACTTTATATTCGTACATATTATATGCATATATATTACTATTTAATTATTATTATCAAGTGAAAGGTGGTGCTTGCTGTTTAACATAAGTATTTTCAAAATAGACACTATTTTAGCGTGACAAATCCTAGATGGTAGTTAACTCTACAATACTGATAGAAAAATAGTGAATGGATCTATTTGCATAGTACATCTAGAAAATGGACAAAAGGGAAATGCTTTGGAGTGGAGTAGTTAGGATTTTGTAGAATATTTAATAAAGGATTCGAGTGTTCCTGCGAAAGCGAATAAGAAGCCACATAAGCAATTTATAATAAATAGAGACATGATCAAACGTGTATCAAATACTGAATGCTGTTGAAAAAAATGTATACAAAATTTATTTAATTGCTCCTCTATAGCTCATCCAAATAATAAGTAATAGATATTAGCGGTAACTAAAACTGGCAACATAGTGTGGCCAAGGGAAAACTTAGTTGACAAAACTATTTTTTTTAATATAGGATAAGGGTGACAAACGAGCACACAGTCCACCTGATGGTAAGTGGTTGCTGCGGCCCATAGACATCTACATCTATCCTCTATTACAAATCAAAATGTAGATGCGTTGTCACCCGTGAGGACTAAGATGGAATGCCTCATTTCACCATAACCTCTACTTCACGCTGGTTTTCTGTAAGGTCGTGGTACCGCCCCGGTTCGAGCCGGCCTATCCGTGCGACAGCAAAAGCTGCCGCGTGGCTCTACCACTGTTCAAAATAGTTTTAGACCATGAGACGTTACTTATTTTGGTGAAAGTAGATATTTATCTAAAACTGTACGGAACAATCTGAGCGCGAGTCCTGGTTGCACTCGTCCGTTTTTTATAAATAATACATAAGAAAGTAACAAGTGCTATTTTTTCAACAAACACATAAAAAAGTATTTATCATAAGCGCCGAATGATGGCCGCCTTAGAGAGATTTATTCCGTCGGCTTGCGAGGAAAACTTTATAAGGCGAAAAGACGATAAAACCATCTCGAATATTTTAGATTTTAAATAGACCATCAATGAAGAGCAACGTAAAAAATAATAAACGTAGAAAATAAAACATAACTGTGTGGTTATAATACCTTAATATTAATTGTGTATCATATAAGTAATAAGTGTTTCTCAAGTAGGTAAGTGTAACTCGTTTAGTGGAAAACTGTAACGTTTGGACTGGGATAAGCGGTAAGCGGGAAAATTTCATTCAGATCTATTAAACCATTCAAGCGTGGTTGTGTAAGCAACGAGGCGACTTTCACATTCATGCGGTGACGTAACAAGGATTGCTATGAAGCCGATGTTTTGCGATGAAACAATTTTTTCATTTACTAATTAAATTTATTGGTTTACGTACGATAAATGAATGTAAAACTTTAAATTCATTTTGACCTACACCGTTAAGTCAATTTACTTCTTCCTCTATTGACTCTACATGACAGTAGGAATGCAGTAGGTCAAGTATATCAAAGAATTATACCTTAGAGTTAAAATATTGTTCTAAGAAATTGTAAGTAAGGCGTAGTTATTAAGATTTGTGTCACAATTTGACGCAGTGATGAAATATTATATAAAATACTATCCATAAAAATCAAATCCAGTTCACAAAAAAGTAAGTTCCGCTGGGTTTCTTGTAGTTTCTTCCCAGGACAGAGGTTTTTTTTCCGAACCAGTGGTAAATAAAACAAAATAGTAAGTTTCAATAAGTATTATTTATAATCTATATTGAATCAGTTTGTTTCTGTTCTTTCAATAAAAAATAACAAAAAAATCTTTATTGATTTTTATGTATAGTAAAGTACTTTCTGATCGTAATTAATTTAAAGATTTCTAAGTACATAATAATAATTTCAATTTCAGTATTAAAAGCAAACATTTAAATTATTAAACGACTACTTAATTGAATAAGATTTAGCTATTGTTTTTCCATTTAATAGATTTTATTTTGTTGTTTCTTTGCGTAGTACCTATGTTAAAACGTTGTTTGAAATATAGCTTTCTATAATATATTGGAAACCTATGCAAAGTATAAGTACCTATGTAATAAATAAATGTAATGTCACTCACATTTTTGACTCTCTGTTATCTTATAAATTTAAGTTAATTTAATAAATACACTTATGTAATTTCTTTGGTTTGACTTTGTATAAATTAGAAATCACGTAAAGATTTAGTCTCATTTTCCTAGATTTTTTTTAATCTTCTTATTAACACCAACCCTTTTAACCCAACTTCTCACTTACCCTGTCCAAATTTTATACAATTAAAATCTAAACAGAAAATAGGTACAGACGCCTACTAATTGAACCATGATTAAATCTTCTTAGTTTTATGAGAATCTACAAACATAACGTAGTATCAGTAGTTACCTACCTACATAGATATACATATATACACGCGCTGTTCAAACTAATACACTTTGTTAACATTTACTATGGCTTTATCATTATCAATATAATAACAGAGTAATTATACGTAAGACGTAAATAGTAACATCTGAATTTGAAATTTAAACAAATATAGTAAAACCTCATCCGGACTACAGCGTAAACAAAGCGTTTTAATTTGCAATGTTGCTCACATTTTAAATTAGGTAAAATAGCACCACGACGCTGCTGTGTTTCGAATAGTGAGTGTAGAGAACCGGAGATGGATACCCTTTTTACATTTGGAAACGAGGCATTCCATCTTATTCTTCACGGGTAACAACGCAACTGCATTACATTCGTATCGAAGATAGATGAAGATGTCTATGGGCCACAGGTGGACTGTGCTCGTTTTGTCACAATTATCCTATAAAAAAATGTCGCCGCCCATCAACACGATTTGAATATCCCCTTGAGTAATTGATATTCCTTACATGAAATTTCTACGTAATGTTCGTAGTTTACACTCACTTAATAACTACCGTTACCAGTTGGGCTGACTTCGTAATTTATTTTTATATGAACAGCAGGTGAACCTCGTTGTCAATCCGTCGATTGTACGTTTACTTTGTGTAACTTGCACGTTACTACGCGCTGGTCGTAGGTGGACGGCGTGCTGTTCGCAAGTTATTCACTTAAAGGGTTAAGTTAAGGGGTTACACCACGTTTAAAAATATTAAACGTCCTCTCGTTGTCAACTCGGTGAGCGTGCGGCGTCAACTCGAAGAAACTCATTAATTACCGCTATAACGCAATGTTGCGCGTAAGCACAGTTCCACATCTTATTTGTCCCAGTCAAATGGGAAGGCAATCGGACACGACCAGAGAGAGATCAGGCGCAGGACTAATGGCTTTATGTGGTTTCCAATGCTCGGGGGCAAAATACTGTCAACTCACTTGGCTGTCATTGAGAATCACTTGAAAGAAAAACTCAATAACTAATTTTGACCTGACCCGTGATTTGAACTTGGGCCAGCAGCCACGCTTACAAACTAATATAGAAAGCTGAAATTTTATAGTATTGGTAGGTATGCGAATCAAATTATAGCATTATTGTGTTTTCGCTTGTAACGCATGCTATAACTGAACATTTATCAAAATTATTAAGATTGAAAAATTATTCCATCAAAATTACATGTTACGTATGAACAATGTAATCGGTAGAGATGCGAAAATTAATCGGGTAATCCGCATAAATCGCAGTCCTATTTCTCGTGATCATGCCTCTTTTAGAGGAGAAATAAGGATCGTATTATCGGGTGGTTTGCTACGCTAGAGGTAAAGCGTTGCCAAACCTTTAACACTTGTGTAGCCGTGATAGTTAGTCCAGAAGGAGAGCTCCCGCTTAACCCGAGTATTCTTTGGCGGCACCATTAAAATCAATTAGCATCGTTATCATCTTCCAATGTGCGCTTTATTATAATATTAGATTCTATAATAATTATCAGTTTCACAAATTAATTGATGCCAGTCACCGAGCATAGGTTGCCGCTGCATCTAGCCCTGCCGTAGTCTATTATACGTTTGCCTTAATGCTGTATTTTCTACTACTCTCTTGTGTTCATCGTGTGACGACAGATGAGATCAGCCCATTGATACTTTAGTTTGCAAACACGGAAATGTACGGATTTTTTTTTACGAATTTTATCCACCTCAGAAACTTCAAGCACAGCTCTTTTCATTCACTGCTTGATTGATGAAATAATTCTTAGACACAACTTTCTTTAACTTTTTCACTTCTTTCTTTTTTTACCTTTTATGTAACCAACCAGACCGTACTCAAAACAAATTTTAAAAAATTTAGATACTTTGCAGTTTCACATAAAAATTGTCTAAATCATCAATCAATCATGCGCACTTCGTACTTTTGTAATCACTCAAAGCAAAGGCCGGCCGTTACTTTTGTAATAATTGTCAAGAAGAATCAAAATATATATGCGTTATCACCTCTGATGGCTTAGATGAAACGCCTCGTTATCAGCAAAAAGGCTCTCAAGTTTTGTCACTCACAATACGAAACACAACAACCTTTTGCGTTATTTCACGTTGGTATTCTATGCCCTGGTCAAGCCAACGCATTCTTGTTGCAGTCATAATACGCTACAATGTGTTACCACTACGTAAACCTTCGTGTACCCCTGCTTACCATTTATTTGGATATCTTGGTTATCAATAATAAAAATTAAAAAATGGATACCGAGTAAAGCAATGCTTGTCGGATGCCACGACAGACTAATACGGACTTTCCTGACTAGGAATTCCGTTGGGTAAGTGCCACGCACTTACCTATTTATGGCGCCAAATACCAGTGCTTGCACTTCTATTTGGCCGTTGTAGTTTTGCTTGTGTGAAGTTGGCTGCAGGTGTCCATGGACTGCAGTAAACACTTACAATATGGACCGTAGGCTCGATTGTAAATTCAGTTTTATAAAAAAAAAGCAGAAAATTTACAAAATGAAGAAAAGCTTCAGAAAACAAATAGTGTTGCCAGAGCATGCAACCAAAAAACTCGATTCACATTTGACTTATTGCGCACGGTGACTACTCAAAACTTAGAAAGTAGCCGTGAAGTCACTATATTTTTTATTGTTAAAATTGGTTAAAACGCATTGTGTAGTGCGCTTAAAGTTTGCGTGTGAAAGTCTAGATTGGGCCACGGACAAATGAAGGCAATATTTTGCTAATGAGTATAAAGTATGATTTTAGTAGTTATTGATAGAAGCAAGTGCTCCGAAGTCCCGAAAAATATTTATGGGGTCCAGGCATCCGAGAAACTTGACTGCTTTGGTGAACTCAGTATATTGGTGATGGCCGCAAACATATTGATAGGTTAAACTGCGCTGGTAATTTGAGATGACGGTAACGTGAGCCTCACGTGATCCTTCTTCATCTTGCGGATTCTTAACCAAAGTAAAATTATTTCCAACCCGTTACGTCACTAAGCGCATACCTACTTCAAACCAAACCACCTTGTTTTGTGTAAAGTTATATTAGATGATTATGTATACAAATATTATTTTAAATTATAACTCTAGGCAACGATCTTTTTGAAGTTATACTTCTTTTGGGGCGTTTGGCAAAAATGATGAGAGTGAATTTTTACGATGCGCGCGAACTGACACCTCAAAGCGATAACTTCAGTGGGTAATTGTCTCTCAAGTTTTTTTGTTTTGTTCCGCTAAAGAAGTATAACTTCCTACGTGTGTACATAAGTATACATACACTTATTTTCTTTGACTTTCAATATAATTTTAAACAGATTTTTCTAAAACAGATATTTGCATAATATGTACTGGTTTTTTCAAGTTTATGTAGAAGATATGATGAAGGTAGATAAAGGTTTCAGGAATAAGGTCGTCCACTGTCACGCAGTGAGAGCAGAGAGATCACGCGCCGTGTCCTGTACGGGGTACACGCAGCACAGTAGGTTCATGCCAGCTTTTGAATTTATGTTTCTATTTTTAAAACCTCTTTACTACCAAATTTACTGGCGCACTCGTTTACGATATTAGCCTTGAAGATGAAACTGCTATTCATTTTGGTATTATATCAAATAATTTAGTTGTTGTAAAGCCGGCCAAACAACTTGTAAATCAACAATCGTCGGGGAAGAAAAAATTTAGTAGTAAGCATAGTGAAGGGCGATTCCCCCTAGACAAGAGGCTCAGGAGTGTGCTTTATGATAATACCTACATGAACTTTACCCGGTAATAAATATCTTACACAATACATCTGTTGAAATTAAAAACACACTGAATAGTTATGTGTTTTAGAAACCGGAATGCATTATCACTACTTAAATCTAAATATATTTAATTAAGTATTTAGGCAAATGATAAAAATTGACGAATTTTTAAAACAACAAAAACTCTAATATAATTATATATGGCAAACATCAACAATACAGAAAAATATTTAGCTACCTTGTTACCAACTAGAAAGAACAAAGATCGAATGTTTCTTCATAATTGCTGGAGTCTACTGAATTAAAACCCCATGGCAAGTCATTAACTAGTAAATAAATTATTATTACAATAGTTACACATTGAGCTTTGGTATTTAGCAAAATTTACATTCACAAACGACTTAAGAACTACTTAAAGTAACCTAGTACCTTAACATGATTAAAATTGTTTTTTTAATCATGTTAAGTTTTTTTAAAACGCAAATAACATCATATTAGTACAGTTATATAGACAAATTTATATTTTATTTAAAGTACAAATAGATAAGAAATTGCAAAAATGAAAAGAAAAAAGTCAAAAAAATAAACAAAATACAAATAAAATGGTATGAAAAAGTTTTTCAAAAAGGGCTCAAAAAAAGGTCGACCATTCTAGACGCACATAACACCATATTAGTGGAGGTACATCGAGTAAAAATGTGTTATTTACAAAACAAATAGATAATAAATTGCTTTTACGCAAAAAAAATAAAATTCTAAAATAAATTAAATAGAAAAACCTTATCCAAAACGTACGTGCTATATATTTGCTTTGCCAAAGTAGTAGGTAACTCTATTAATTTAGTTTCAAATGACAGTGAGTTTTTTATTTGATTAAGATTATTAAGGTTACGTAATAAATGTCTAGAAATAATTATGTGTCGTTATTTTAAGCTTCGACACGTTCCAAGTTCGTCGAAAAGTGTAGCTAATATGACAATAATTTAGGACTCGTCGCCCGATAGCCGCACCAAGAGGCGATGTCGTTTCATTTGTGGTGGTTTTACTCGTATTAGCTTTTTGTATCGCTCCCAAGGTATCTTCACATTCTGTCATCTTGAATCCTCCCGTGTTTTAAGTTCGATCTGAAGAAATAGACAATTAGTGTAAGATTATTTCTTACAAGGCTATATACATATAGGTTTAAGAAGATCTTAATTAGTTCTCAAAAGATCGCTTACGAGAAATTAAACAAGCAACAAAAGTAAATACAATAGTGGAGTAATCAAAGAAAATTAAAAGTAAATTACAAACACAGAATATTAACTATACTCGTAGATGTGGGTAAAACAGTTAATATAAGAGTAGGTAAGCATCGTGCACACACTATTAACTAAACAACTAATGCAACCGAAACAGAAGTAAGGATGCGTACAGCTAATCTAGACGACGTAGTTTCAGTTTGTTTTATTTTTTATGGCAATTTCCCAAAATATGGCGTTTTAATAGTTTTTTTTTAAATAAAGTGTTCTTTTTTTAATTTTTATATTTAGGTAATGTGTGATACAATTACCGTCACCGTCAAACATTATATTTATCTTACAATACTATGGATGCAGACAGCTCAGGACCTGTGTGCTTTGGGGCATTCCTTGGGTGAGGCCTACGATCAGCACTCGACTTTTGATAAAGCTGATACTACGTTGTAACTTTTTGTATGTATATATCATGAAGAACATTTTAAAGTTACAACCTATGTATCTGACCTATTGCTGGGTACTATCCTCCTCATGTCTGAGACAGTTATGAAGCGGTAGGTCAATGCTTGTCCAATACGTGTTTACAGACTTCATATGTCGTAAATATTTAGGTTTATATTATATTGACTTGCAGGTTTTCTTAAGATGTTTACCTTCACCGCTGACAGTCCACCTTAAGTAAGTAAGTAGCCATTGGAGCCCATTTACAATCTGATGAAGTTCAGGAAACTACAGGAGCTAAACGCAAGTTTTATAATGGCTTAAAAAACATGATGCACTGCAGTAAATATTATCAGAAAAATGCATCATATTTTTCAGGACATATACTAGTTAGATCATCATTAGTGCCCACTGCTGAACACAGGCCTCCCCCAAGGAATGCCACAAAGCACGGTCCTGAACCACCTGCATCCATCTACTTCCTGCATGTCTTACCAGGTCGACACTCCATCTAGTGGGGGGACGCCCTACACTTCGCCTGCCGGTACGAGGCTGCCACTCGAGAACCTTTCTTCCCCATCGGTTGTCGGTTCTTCGAGTTATATGGCCGGCCCATTGCCACTTCAGCATATAAATTCTTTGGGCTATGTCGGTTACTCTGGTTCTACTGCGGATATCCTCGCTTTTAAGTCTATCACGCAGAGAAACGCCGAGCATTGCCCTTTTCATAGCTCGCTGAGCGACTTTGAGCTTCCTCATAAGGCCAGCAGTGAAGGACCACGTCTCAGATCCATAGATCATCACTGGCAACATACACTAGTTGAACAATCTAGTTTTGAGGTTCTGAGGTATGTCTAACGAGAGGATATGTCGTAATCTCCCGAACTCTGCCCAGCCGAGTTGAATCCGTCGATTGACCTCTCGGTCGAAGTTGGACTTACCTAGTCGGACTATTTGTCACAGGTAAACATATTCGTCAACAACTTCGAGCTTCGTGCTCCCAACAACTACCGGCATAGGTGTGACATGGACGTTAAACATGATTTTTGTTTTGTCCATGTTTATCTTAAGACCTATCCGTTGGAAGACGCTATTGAGGTTATTGAGCATAGTGCTTAGGTCCTCCAGCAATTCTGCCATAAGGACTATATCGTCGGCAAATCAAAGGTGAGTGATGTACTCGCCATTTATGTTAATACCGTATTCTTTCCAGTCCAGAAGCTTGAAAACGTCTTCCAATGCAGCGATGAAGAGTATCGGGGATTATTCTCTTACATCTCCCTGCAGTTGGATAGGTTTCGTACTCTGGTTTTGTACTTGGATAGCCATCGTAGCCCTACTGTACAAACACTTCAGCACTTCGATATACCGACAGTCCACTTGGCACCGCTGGGGGGACTGCAGCTCCGCCCAAGTTTCGCCGGAATCAAAGGCTTTCTCACCCTATGTGGTGGCGGGTAAGAATATTCACTACCCCATTCTTTCCATGGGTGTCGTAAAAGACGACAGAGAGAAACTGAGGCAGAAGATGGGCAGCAGCATCTTTCTGATAACAGCAAAAAGCAGTAAAAAAGCTGCGGTTGCCAACCCCCTCGCCAAGCGTGGCATCTATGGCAATATACCCCCATGAGCAATGACTAGTTAAATAGTGTATTGAAAATATGATACTACTAATTCAATATGATAGAAAAAATCACGAAGGTACCTCTCAAATTTTTATACTAATACACTTGCAACCAGTTTGGTATATATATATACAGGGTTATTTTTTCAAAGAGTAGCCAAATTTTAAAGTTAAGTTCAAATATATAAATAATGGTATACCGTTATTGAGGTGTTTGAAAATAAAAGTAAATAAGGCTTCTACTTTTATTTGAAATCATCCCAAATTGAATATGGGCAACAACGTTTTTGTCTACCGATCGACCCTTACGAATGTGTGCGTGTGCAGTAAAATCAGTTAAAAAAATGCATTACCACGTATTTTGAATTTAAAAGATAAAAAGGATAGAATGTTTGAGATTTCTTATTGCCTATAATTATTCTGAACCTTGTCTGCAAATTTGGCCGGTTACTGCAAACTAAACCTGTATATTTTTATTAGCTGTTATCCGCTCGCCTTCCTGTGCATAAGTGATAATAGAGGCTGTGCAAAAATAATAATTGCCATAAAACGTTTATTTTATCCCTTTTGAAGACAAAATGTACGTCTATGCCAAACATCAAAAATATCCCTTCAGTCGTTAGAGCATGAATATATGATTAACATTCAAACAGACACACTTGTACACTTAAAATATAAATAACGAATATTAGACTTAAATACATAGAATATTACATATTATTTAGACGGTCTTAATGCCTGAGGCATTGCGAAGTGTAGAGAACCGGAGACAGGTAACTAGACATTTCATCTTATAGACTAGGAGATGGTGACAGAAAATATTCTCCCATTTTCTCCTGCATGCCTTTTTAACAATTGATAACTAACACTAAAATATGAAAGATACGAGCCCTTGCGCGCTTACACGTCATAAATAAAATGGCTTCTCTTTGTGTAAAGAATTTTAGTATTTTTCCGTGACATTATTTTTATGACCAAATAATTCTGAAATACAAATGGCATGCATGTTGCACATAAACATTATATTATAAATAATAACAAAAGTTGCAAAAAATTTAATAAACATTTCCGCGTTTTTTATTTGACATTTTGTATTTCATAAAAACATATTATTTTAAGAATATACCGAAAATGGCATGCGTATTAAATATCACGATCGTATTTTAAATAATAATGAAAGTTTCATAAAATATATGAAACGTTTCCGTGTTTTTAATTTGCATGCCGTTTTGCATCTCATAAAAACATATTATTTTAAGTATATATCGAAAATGGTACGCATGCCATTAAATAACACCATCGTATTTTTATAATAATGAAAGTTTCATAAAATATGTGAAACATTTCCGTGTTTTTAATTTAAATGAAATTTTGTATTTTATAAAAAAATATTATTTTAAGTTTATGACGACAATAGCATGCGTATTTACATTTATAGTTCAACAGAAAAAAAATTATATAAAATAGAAAATGAAAATTACTCAATTGTAAAAGCAAAACCTTTTAAACAATTAAAATGTAAATTAAAGGAGAGAAATGTATGCTTAAATAAAAAATTACAAGCATTTCAAAATCACCAAATAAAGAATTTTTTATTTTATGTGACTTTTTGTTGGAACTTACAATATAATATATGAAATATTTCAGTTATTTAATAAAGTAAATCCGAGTACATACTTAATAATAGAAACAATAACTTAGTTTGAAGAAAGCCACGTACCAATGTATTGGCAGCGGTTTTTTTGTTTATTTAAGGCATTTTTATCAACAAACATGCATGCCATTTGTTATTGAAGTTTAAAATAATATTTACAGACAAAGGATAAAAAGGCATGGCAAAAAAAAAAAACAGGGAAATGTTCCTTATTTTTATTTTCGTTAAAAAACTTTTTTAATTTTATTTTTGCACAAGTTTTTTATGTCAGGCTTGTGTAATATGCATGCCATTTTTTTATCAACTTAAAATAATGTTTTTTTAATTAAATATTAAATGGCATGCAAAATAAAGTCACGGAAATTATAACAGCGTGTTTGCAATTTTCGTCATGCATGCCACTACTTTACAACTTCCTGTGGTGCATGCCAAATTTGCTAACGTCAATAAATTATAAAAATTAAGTATTGTTCAAATAGCATGCAGTTTGAAATCACGGAAAAGTTGTATTGAATTTTCACATTTTCCTAATATTTTCCACCCTTGGTCATACGAGGGGTGCTTGCCAATTTTCGTAGAGTATTTTTGAGATAAAAAGAAACTAATTTATTACAACAATTTGTAAACACGGAAATGTTCTATTTTTTTTTCATTTCTACGTAACCTTTTGAGCACCGTCGGCCGTTGCGAATTGCATGTCATCAATTATTATAGCTATATATATTTATATATATTTGTTCCAACTACATTAAATTACAAAGGCATGCAATATAATGTCACGGAAAAATACTCAAATTCTTTACACAAAGAGAAGCTATTTTCTTTATGACGTGCAAGCGCGCAAAGGCTCGTAACCCCTCTATCTTTCATATTTTAGGGTTAGTTATCAATTCTTAAATAGGCATGCAGGAGAAAATGGGAGAATATTTTCTGTCACCATCTCCTAGTCTATTAGCCCTCAGGGGTGTAAACGCATCTGCATTTTGATTCTTAATCGAGAATAGATGTAGATGTCTATGGATGAATCTGAACGTGAATGCTGTGGCATTCACTTACTATCAGGTTGTTTTGGTTGTTTGTTCGTTTATTACACATATTCTATATAAAAAAATCACTGTTACTTTACTATTGAGTGATGTAGAGATAAAAACACCAGTGTGGTTGATATAATGTTACCCAAAGAAAATAAATATTTATTTCATCATGATCGTCAATACCATCTTTACAACCCTTCACAAGTCCATTGCGTGACATAGACCTTCCCCGAGAACTTTCACAAAACACGGTTAAAAATAAATTATATAAATAGTAATAGTAATAACAGCTCAATACTTCACACATTTTTAAATATAAAAACAATTGTAACCTACCGCCGATCTTATAGCATCGTCAACTTCATCAGCCAATAAAAGTTCAATGCTGTACTTGAGGCCCTTACGTGGAATGAACGATTTGCCTTAATTTGACACGGTTCGCAGGCGAATTGATGATGGCTGTACCAGATGTCCAACACATTTGATGCTCATGTTACTTCGCACACGGCAAGAAAAGGGGTCAAGGGTCCTCTCTCACTGCCGTCACACGGCAGTTATTTATTATTGGTTATTTCTTTTAAATTTATATTCTTTAAAAATAGTAGTGTACAAAAAGTACATAACAATCAGCAAAACCATTGTTATTTTACATCTATGATCTTACCTCGCTGAGGATGACCCAGTAAAAACTGTCGCTGTTGATTCTCAGGCGCATTGCAACAATAGGTCCAATTTCCTTCTTAATTTCACCATCAGCAAGGCCAAACTCGTCAAATGCTCCGACAACAGTGAAGTTATTAGTCTTAGATGGCATCACTTCTACCACAGTGTTATAGAATTTGTCGGATACGTGGTCAACGTTGCCACTCCGGAAAGTGTAACTGTAATGTAAAACATATTTTTTTTACCTGTTTTTTTGGCTAAAATTTTATTACACAATTTTAAAAAAAATATTAAGACATTTTAAAAATATTAAATATTTTTGTGACGTACTCATAACGATATATTGTAAAAATTTTAAAGTCTTCAATTATATCTATGTTTTTAACTAGTGCTAAACATGCCAATAAAATGCTCCCGGAAAATAAGTAAATTATATCCCCAAATTAAAAAGGGAAATATTATATTTTGAAAAACTTTACAAATACGCAATTGTTTACCGTATGTCTGTTTCTTTCCACTGCCAAAATATATACCGATATGACACTCATATAGTTCTTTTAATGACATCACTTTGTCTTCACTATTGAGAAACAACAAACATCCATACAAATTTTCAAGTTCATAATAAGTAGGAAGTAGGTTTGTTTGATTTCTCATAACTGCCTCTATTTTTTTTTTATTTAGATAGTAGCAGGCCTGTCTAACTCCGCGCTTTAGGCCTGAAAATATACCGCCCAATACCGTGAGGTTGTCACGCGCCTGCTCGAGCTGACGCGCGCCTTATGTTAACATAAAAATTATTAATATTTAATTTTTATTAATAAGTATTTAGGGGCTTTTGATATTTAATTTTGAGTTTTTACTCAAGTGTGGCCTCTCAAGCAGTCAAAAGGCATATTATACGGGTTCTATCACGAATAGCATACGGGTGCTTAAATAACAATAGGAATGTCGACTTTTCATTTTTTCCTGTTCCTAAGGATACCGAAAGGTAATATATTATTATTTATAAGTAGATCTAAAGATATATACATATACGAGGACGACACTAAAAGTTTTTAGAACTGGCCACTTGTAACCGATATAATAAAAAAATAAGTTCAAATTTTGAACATGGAACTCTTTGCCAATATTATTGTGTATATATTTTATTAATTTGTCTTTTGTTTACGATGTTTGTTCGAATCCCGGACGAACAAGTATTTGTATGGCTTACAAATAATTGTTCTGGGTCTGTTCTATATATGTCCCTGCGATAAAGGAGAAAATCGTAGTGTGGAGGTAACGCTTTTTAAAAAGAGAGGAAGAGAGACAAACAATGAAATTAAAAATTTACATGTACACATGTACAACCGACTTCAATATTAATACGCATTATTAAAGATAACTCCAAAATTACTGGTCAGATCTTGATCAAATTTATATGGGATGTATAAATTATAAGCACCAGCTTTCAAATAAAAATAGAATCATCAATATCGATTCACCAAGAAAAAAGTTCTGAGGTAACGCACATAAAAAAACAGTGGAATTGAGTACCTCCTCCTTTGTTGAAGTCGCTTATAATGGTAAGTAGGTAAATTATTTGAGTTTCAAAGACTTGCACGTTGTTAATTTAATCTTAAATCTTATTCCTCGGTGTTGCATATTAACCTTCCTCATATTGAACAATAAAGTTTTTATTATCAGCAAATTGATGACTCCGTAGCGCAGTGACTTAGCAATGAGTTGCAACGCTGGGGCCGCGGGTTCGAATCCCGCACGGAATAAGTATTTATATGGCCTAAAAATTATTGTTACAGTTCTAAATGTTGGTCCTCGTGCAATTTATGTTTGTTCTTCCACAATACAGGAGTATATAGTGTGGGTAACGTTTTTTTAAATAAAATAAAAGAAATACTAATACATTGCATAACACTTCGACTATATACCAATGAATATCAAAGGATTCAATTTTTTTTCTCACAACACCTGACTCTACAGTAGAAGCGGTCTTAACAAAGGCGTGTAACGGGCTAAGTGATACAGACACTCGCAGGCGGACGTAAGGTGCATTTTGATATAATACGCGCGCCGCATAACTTTTTTTTGACGATATAAACGGTAGGCTAATTTCACGAAGGTCACTTCCGAGTATATGATAGCAGTTTACTTTCCTAATTCCAACGCCGAGGAAGCTCGGTCGCCCAGGTACTTCTTGCATAAACCTACAAACGTTTCATATCTTATCGTTATAATCCGTTCCTTTCCTAATTTAGTAGACTTGTAAGTTGTACTAATTTAGATTATGAGTATATAAACTAAGTAAAAATATCCAATACTGCGATTAAAAGCCCGCTCAGCAAGCGTATCGATATTATCGTTGCAACATGACGACCTATATGGAAAAATAGTTGAATAGTTGATACTACAATAAATTTACTCATGTGTTATTTTTATCGCTAATACCTTGCTAAATATTTTGAAGTTTGATTCAAAAAGGATGATAGAAATTTACACGTTTTACACACACATTTTTTAAGACACAAATATGTCTTAAAAAATCTGGTGTTTATTTTTGTTAATGTTGTGTAAGACAGTAACTAAATTATTTATAATTTTCAAAGACTTAAATTCATGGGTAGTTACGTAATAGGTATAGTAAAGTTGAGTTCGTTACCTTTCAATTAGAGTTGGCTTCTCGAACCAAAATTCTACCATATCGCCTTTCTTCGGTTTAACGCCCCAGAAGTAAGTTTGCCCATCGTAAGCCCTCCTTAACGTATGGTCAGATTGCTCTTGAATACTAGTCCTCAAAGATTGAACCGGTGGATTAGTATGTGGGTAATATGTTGGCACTGCGCCATATGGGTTATCCTAAAGTAAAAAAAAGTAGAAATTGTGTTATAATGTATAATTTTTCGAACGTATATAAATTTATATAAATTTTTTAAAGAGATATTTCCGTTAAATAACCACGGCGGGGCAGAATAATATTTGGTATTCCAGTTAGGTTTAGAAGAATTTACACGTGTTTTCAAAATATTTTTATCGTTGTCATTATAATATCCATTATCGGAGAGCGCGAGCCAATTAACGTATTAAAATTACATTTAGCAGTTAGCACCATAAATTAATCAAATGAAATTTAATTTTACATTGAAATGTATTGTTTTTGCAAATTATACTTGTGTGTATATTGATTGTATTTGACGAAAAATAGATGATGGGATGAAGAAATAATGAAAGCATAAGCTTGCAAAGAGGAATGGTTTAATAGTAGCCAAATGATTGAGAACATATTAATATATTTAATAAAGAAGATATATATATTTTATAAATCTTAATATAAACATGTACAACATCAAATGTATGAGTTCATTTAAACTGTTCAAAATTATAGTAACAAACAGAACGCCAATGGTATCCAAGCAGCCAACGTATAAAAAATGTGGAACACTTCAGGAAAAGAAAATACTGATATTATCATAGAATTGAAATTCTCTTTTGTTGAGTCCTTTTGTATGGGTATCGATAATTGGGCCAAAAAGGCAAATTAATTATCGCATAAAAATGCTATGAGCTTTTACAATAATAAGTAAAAAATAATATATAATAAACTTATTATACTACTAGCTGTGCCCGCGGCGTAGCTCGCGTATATAGGGTTTACATAAAGAATTTGTCGTTTAGGTAAGAGAATATTAAACGATTTATATCATTACTGTATCAATAAGTAGTAATAAAATAAATCATTATCATCAAAGTTCTAAGTCGTTTATGATAGAGCTTCTGTGTAAACGACGTTAGAAGTAGGCTTAGCCGAGGTGTACACAAAAAGTTTACGGGGGCTACTAACGCGGGAAAAAGCAACATAGAGATGGTGATGTGCAGAATAGTCAGTACTGAGGTGCACTCCTACAACGCGTAAAGTTTGACCTTGCGCTTTAATTACGGTCATCGCATAACACACGCTGACTGTGACTGGGAACTGAAGGCGCTTAAAACTGAAAGGAAAGTTATTTCTTAATAGAGGGATTTTGGGCAGTGCTGCCAGATCAAAAAACTCATTCAGCGCTAGGACAACACAAAAAGCGCTAGATTTCATGAAAACAGCGCTTTAAAAAAGCCCTAGATTTCGCGCTAAATTTACTACAAACAAAGTTTGTTTTTTTTTATAATTTATAATTCAAGAAAATATAATCATAATAAAGAAAACAACATTAAGTTTTTTTCTGGTAATATTTTTTTGATGTATCAATACTTCGCAGGACATCGACTTATAATTATGGCAATTGCTGTTAATAGTAGTACTGTACGAACAATTAAAATGTCATTAATTGTCTTAAAGTGCAATGTATTTCGCAACTTAAGTTTCAGATGTCAGCATCTGATTGCGGTTGCTACTTGCTACACAGTTTCTTTGTGTTGTAACTTCTAAGTAACTTTTAAATTAGTTGTGCTCTAAACAACTGACTGAAACTGAATAAAGCAAAATAAATGCGTTGCCAAAACCATGAACGAAAACTTTAATAAGGGGGATTTCCCCGATTATGGTCGTCGGTAAAAAAATCAAGTTGATCATCCTAAAGGGGGAGCCGGGAGATCGATAGCAAAGGGTATCCTAGTTTGGACTCGTCTCCCATGCTTTTTGTTTTGTGAAAAAAAAAATAAGTTTGAAAAAGATAAACTGCAATGTACTATTTGTGGGAAAAAATAATGGAGTTCATTAATATTATTATCGGTAATGTGTACTAAAAGTGCTGCTATTAAAGAGTTAGAAAACCCGCTAGTCGCTACAATTTTGCAATGTGTGCTAAATACACCATAAAGCGCTGGGTTAAGCGCTAGGTGCTACAATTTTAAAATGCGCGCTATACATTCCAAAAAGCGCTAGATCTAGTTCACAAAGCGCTAAATTGGCAGTACTGATTTTGCGTATATTATAATAACAATTTTCGAAGTTGTATGGCTTCGGTAGATACAAATTTCTTCAGTAAGTCTCAAAACGATTCATCGGCGGAGAATCTCAACACCGCAATTCAGAAAAGGTTGTAATTTGTACAACTCCATCTATTACGTCCTTTGTGTGAGAAAACATCCTTTTTTTAATCTCTTTTTGTGTTTTAAGTATAAATATATTAATTATTATGAAACGTTTTTTTATACACAAATCTTTTTATTACTTATATTTATTTCTGAGATTTTATGGCACTATTGAACAAATTCGAACCTACATTTCAAAAAAATGTTATCATCATTTTTATTATATGTATATATTTAAAGAGAGATGGCGCTGCTAACATCAATTCTAAAAATAAAAGAGATTAATTGACGCGATTGATACATTACATAAAACGTAAAAGAACTTATAAATCAGTGCCTGCACAGTAAGAAAAAATAAAGTTTGATCCTCGCCAAAACCAACGCAATTGTTAATAGCTCTTTTAAAATTTGATTTACCACATAGAGTACTCGGCGGTAAAGAATAAATTGAGTTTGTCAACACGCAGTAGGGCAGCTAGTAATATAAAGATGCAGGAAATATGAAAACTCATCTACAGGAAAAAACCACAACCTGCCTTTTTGCATTACATTTGCACAACACCACCATCTATCGATGAAATTGGTTAACTATTGTACTTTTAGATTTAGTTAATTAATAAGGTTAATATATTTTTGTATAATAATATTTAATACGTTCTTTTATACTTCCGTTTACTGCGTTTTAAATATACATAAGTATATCATTATAGAACATTATTTTACATCGTTTAATTATGATTTATGATATGATATTAGTTTAAAATGCACTTGATGACTCAACCACAGCCACCGTTGATCAAATTCGTACCTATACTTCCCTACCCATACTTCAGAATATTTATCATAACTTTTGATGGAATGAACTGATTTTAATGAAATAAAGACTAAATGTAACCCGAAGATACACTTTATAATTTATTTAACAATTTTAATAATATAAATTAGTACTTTATACGTGATACGTTAACAAACAAACAGACAGACAGACAGACAAAAAATTCTAAAAATGGTAGAAATGTATTTAATTACTTATTTTTAGTACCCCTCAATCACTTTTATTACAAAAATATAAAATGTACAGACATCTGCTATTTACATTTTTATTATATGTATAGATTCCATGCAAATAAAGCACGGGAAAGCTACTACTCTACTCATTAATAAAAAAAGATATATAAAGAGATATGAGAAAAAGAAAGAGAAAGAGAATATGTCAATGACGTCATGTTCGAAGTAAGGGTTACGTAGTAACATTATTTAATCTGTAGTAAGAGTAAGCGAAATCATATCACTGAAAGGAACATTAATAATTCAATATGAAGTAAAATGTATATTTTTATAATAAAACTTAAGCAAAACAAATTGCACCCTATCGTATTAAGATAAAGTTATATTCCTGTTGCGTTCCGCATTTTTTAATACTTTAGCTGCTTCACTACCATTGACTTTTTGTTTCTTACTTTATTATGAACTGTTGGACTGAAACCATATGTTTGTTCCAATCTTGCTCAAATAAATCGGAACATATACATGTTCCGATATATTTGAGCAAGATTGGTGATCACAAGAATGTGTCTACTTTGGATGGTTGAATATTAATGATCACTTTGAATGTTTCTAAATATTTGATCACACTGACTGCTACCTTCCTTTTGACGCTGACTGTACCATTTCGTGGAATGTTCATTTTTATCACTACATGAGGTAATAGGTATTAAATTTTGTATATCATTACAAGCTATAGAGCGAAACTAAGCAAATAGAAAAAAATATAAGTACCTTTACTTTCTGTATCTTCCCCTTTAGCGAAGAGTAGAGCCCAATATGTTGGAACAAGGATGTTTTGTATTTTGGGCGAATTTGGATCTTGTTCTTTCCACAAACTTTCTGTAAGACAATTGTTTTTGTAAGTTAATATTAGTGATCAGATACTTTATAATAACGCACGCAAGTACGCACGCACGCACTCAAGTACGCACAGACGCTGGATAATGTCACATAATTATGCTTAATAAGAGGAAAAAAAGAAATCGAATTCGATAGGTTAAGAATAAGAAGAATATATTTATATTGCAAGATTATCACAGTTTATTAGATCCGCTAATCATCTGTATTCTCGATACCTGTGCGATTATGACAAATCGACTGAGATATATTTGACAAATTTAGGAGTTACGGGTGATATAACATACATATATTAATGGACAAATTTAGAGGAACGTAAGGTTTAATTTTCCTGTTTTATTTATCGTGCGTACTAGCCACAAGCATTAGTAAATGCTATTAACAATTTGGAATTTTTTTTTTCGAATTTCATTTGGATTTATGATTTTGATAATGCGAAAAATTTTGCCGACTTCTGAATTTGAGTTTAAATTTATCTTTGTTTATCGTGCTAAGTGTGAATTATTACTGCAAATAAACTGAAAATGGCAGATCTAAAAGCCACTCAAGTTGCTAGAGCTGTTACTTTAATTGAAACTGGGCACACCTATAAACATGTGGCCCAAATATTACTAGTATCAAAATTTGTGTTACACCGAATTGTCAAGAGGTATCGGCAGACCGGATAGTATACGAGACTCGCAGGACAGGGACGTTAACGGAAAACTGTGCCCGGAGTTTCAGTTTACCAACTTCGAGGGGTTACGTTACGTACAAAACGTTGGAGATCTGTCTGTTCAGTTGCCTGTATGCTGTCAAATCTGTTGAAGAATGTAGCTTCATCTCCCGTCTAACAGCCATGCGATTAAGAGTGTGATCGGAGAGTTTTTGTGTTCTTCTGCGGCGGGTCTTGCAGAACTTAGCTCCGACCGCATGGATAGTTTCCACGAGCTTGTCATTCATATCGTCCAATTCATTGCAGTCTTCTAGGCACTGAAAACGGTTTTGTAACTCGAGCTGAAAGGTTTCGGGACTTTGGATTAGAGCACGAGGGGGACGGAGCGTTGACTTCATGACACCTCTCCAACTTAACGTTTAGGTTCAGTGTGCCTCTAACCATTCGGTGGTCGCTGCCGGTTTTCACCCTCGCGATCACTGAGACATCACTGAACAGTTGTCGTCTGCTCGTCATAATGAAGTCAATCTCATTTTTTGTCGAACCGTCGGGGCTCGACCAGGTCCACTTCCTGTGGGGCCGCTTTTGGAAGAAAGAGTTCATCATAAAGAGTCCCTCTTTCTCCATGAAGTCGGCCAGCTGCTGGCCCCTTGGGTTCCGTTATCCTATACCAAATTTCCCTACTTTCATCTCACCATTCCCTCTTGTGCCTAGTTTTGCATTGAAGTCTCCCATTAACACCGTATATTGGGTTTTGGGGGAATGCATGGCTCTAGAGATATCCTCATACATTTCCTCCACCTCCTCATCGGGGTGTGCCGAGGTTGGTGCGTAAACCTGTATGACCTTCAGCGAATACCGTTTGGTGATTCTGAGTATAAGCTACGCAACCCTCGTCGACACACTCTCAATCTTTACAACGTTGTTAACGAGAGACTTGTGGACGATAAATCCGACACCTCCTTGGGACAGATGGTCGTCCTCCCGGTAATAGAGCAAGTTGCCAGATACGAGGATTACCGTTTCCTCCCCCTCTCTTCGGACTTCGGATAATCCTATAATATGCCAGCGTAACTTGTTTGTCTCTTCTTCCAGCTCCACAATCTTCTCGTCAGTCCTCAGGGTGCGTGCGTTGTATGTTGCCAGGTCGAGTCATCGTAGGTGGCAACCGAACCCCCACCGGAGATTCTTAGCGCCCCCTGCCCCGCTGTTACCATGGTCGCAACCGTAGCCAGGAATAGCGGGGCCGCCGGGGACTGGGGGCCGTCTCTTAGTAACTTTATCCATTTGGGAGGTATTTGCCATAGTTGCCGCGCTTGGCGAGCGGGTTGGCAACCGCAGTTTTTTTTATTGTAAGTTTGTTGTTATCAGGAAGATGCTGCTGCCCATCTCGTGCCTGTTTCCCTTTGTCGCCTTTTACGACACCCACGGGATGATATGGGGTAGTGGATATTCTTAACCGCCACTACACGGCCTACCATACAATGAAATATTAGAGAAAATTAAATCCGGTATATTACCATATGAATTTGATAAATAATTGTGTTGAGATAAACCGATATAAGAAATAGTATTAATTAGATCGACAGCAGAATTCTGCATATCGACAGATCCCTTTTTTAATATTATTGGTTTCTTTAATTTCCAATCTATACAAGGCATATACTATAAAATTATTTTTAATATAGTTTTGAACCAAACGCAGCAGTAATTGTATAAAATTTCAGTCAAAGCGCCTGCACGCCCTAAGCGGGGAAGCGCACGCGATCATCAATCCACCACCGAGAGTAAGAGCACCGCGGTCGCGACTAATTGAATACGTCTATCAAAAGAAACATACATTATCCAAAAGATGTCCAGTATCAAAGTAGCAAGTAGCAAAGTTTTGAATACAATTCATTTTGAACTAGTAGGAATGTACAATCTCTCAAACAAATTAGCTCTCGTTCTCACTAATAAATAACATATTTACCGTCGTACAAAATGCAAAATCATTAGATATTGAGGCCTTTTAAAATACTAACCGAAGTCTTGTCGATGGTGCATACTCTATCGGCCAAGTAGCTCTCTAAAAGCCAGTCGATGGGCATGTTCTTGTAGAACAGTTGCACGTAGGTGATGAAGTGGATCAGATCGGATGATCGGAACAGCTTGCCGATGCCGCCAACTTGACAGAACTCCAGGAAAAACCAATTCGGTGTCGAGACGCTCGTTGCTGCGGTGAACTGTTTGATATCCTGAAATATTGATGAATATATTAAAGACAAGCGTCCCGTCCCGGCTGCGACTAAGTGGCGAAGCCTGGACGTGACGCTATTTTATTAATTAATAAATGTATGTTGCGTCATTTTAATTTATGATAATCATGAAATACCAAGTATTTTATAAGTTGTCGATTTCCCAATGTATTTTACGAAAAAAATATATTTAAAGATATCATTCCTGGCATTGTTCCCTGAAGTTTCATCGCAATCGGTTGGAACCATTCCGAATATTAGCCCGGACAGACAAACAGAGAGACGGACACAACAAACGCTTTAAAAATGGTTATTCATGTCTAAATGCATGCATGCAAATAGCCCCCAGAGCTTAAAAGAAGCCAGTTATTTTGATGTTACAAACAAACACTTAAATTTTAATTATATGCATATATAAAGATATGTAAATCACCGTTATATATTAGAATAATATTAAAAGAAAATGACATTGCAAATAACATTTCAGCAACGTTCACTTATTTATCGAGAATCTGCTTTTAAAATGATCTACTAATAAAGCAATTATTTAAGACTAGCGATTTACCCCGGCTTAGCACGGGTGATTTATGGATCTCGACTACAGCGCCACCTACCTTTTGAGTTTTAGCGAGACTAACGGACAGCAATTGATTTTTATATATAAATAATATATCGGTGTTATGTATTATTGATTCTACTATTTAAAAAGAAACTAGATACTGAAAAATTATTTTTCTTTCTTTATTATTAGTATTGATCTTTTCTTTGCAAAAGAGGGCCGTACGGGAATGTTTAACTTAAATTGTAAAGAGCCCCTCAGAGAAAATTTTTAAGAAGTTAACACTAACGTTAGCATCTCAATATATTTATGAAAATGTAATATATGTAAATAAAAACATGATTGGGTTGGATAAGACTAAAGATGTTCATACTTTAAACGCTAGGAACAAACATAAGCTTGTAATGTCAGTTACTAGACTCCACAGAATTAGTGATTCAGTTATGGTGCAATGTTATAAATAATGTACGCTTTTACAATAAAATCCCAGAAAGTGTTCCAAGTTTGTCAATAAACAAGTTTTATTTAAGAATTATTGCACAAATATGGTTATTATAATGTTAAGGAATACATGAATAAAAATAACCCCTTGGAATTATCGCTATCATACTGGTTCTATTATAATTCATAAAGGTAACTTTTTTTTTTAGTTTTGTAGTACCTGTTATATGTAGAAAATATATAACTCCGCTGGGTTTCTTACTTGTTTCTTACTTTTTTTAACTATTATAAGCCAGCACTTGATTTACTTTTAAGTAAGTAAGTAAGTTACCTGTAGGTTAAGTAGATATTGACGTTTATAAGTGCCTTAAACAAGCCGAGTCTAGTTTCTGTGATATTAATGCCGATAGCCTATGCGGCTCTTACAGCTTCATCGAACTCAGAGGGAGGAGATTATTGGAACGAAATTCCTTATCGGACGGTACGGGTTAGACGGATGGGAGCTAGGCGACAAAAAGTCTAAGATTTTTTCGTCACTACCCCTTATGTCATAGTGTATTTTATTTTAAATGACGCTTCATTTTAATAGACGCTAGTTATACATTTATTTGTATTTGTTAATCAATAATATAATACGTTTATCAATAATAAGGAACTTCGTTCCAACGGAGTGTTCCACGACACTCACGCATGTTTTTTTGTTTTAGTGCAGTTGTGAACGCGACGTTGCACTAAAATCGATAATCTTGGGGGAGTGGGATAACATTGTGTTCATTTCAGTGATTACATTAACATAACATGGATGAGTTATCTAACGGCTGCGCGAACAGGGGTTGGCGGATCCCGGCTCTAACGGCTAACTCGTATCATTCATTGTTCTGGGCGGTGAGAACCGCCCAGGGACGCGGGTTTACGGTGTGTAGGCGGTGTGGAGGGGTGTGCGGTGCGCCCGCCTGTGAACTCGCTGCGTCCTATCCATTGTTGTCCTAACAGTGTTTGTGGCACTAGGTGATTGTGTAGTGTTTTTTTTTATATAGTAGAATGAGATACAAACGAGCACACAGTCCAGCTGATGGTAAGTGGTTGCTGTGACCCATAGACAGCTACATATTTATCAATAAAGAATCAAAATGCAGATGCGTCGTCACCCGTGAGGACTTAGATGTAATGCCTATTTTCCAGTAAAATGGGTCTCCGGTTCTCTACACTCACCATACGTAACACAGCAGAGTCAAGCTGCCATTTTACGCTGGTATTCTGTGAGAGCGTGGTCCTTCCCCGGTCGAGCCGACGCATTCGTACTACAACTATACTACTAATATAGCTGCAGCATGGCTCTGCCACATATTTTGTGTGTGACTTGTCGGCAACGTTTCGGTCGTCGGAATCTAGCCGAACATAACAAGCCGAAATTGAATAAAAAGTTTTTGAATTTGAATTTAAAGTGGTGATGTAGCCGAAGATGGAAAGGTCAAACGTCTCCTTAGATTTAAACAGAAGCCTATGACTTTTACCTTGAAGACACCCACATTTTATTCGAATGGAAAAACTATTGCTAGCGAATTATTCCACTTTACTTTTGCTTGAATCTAATCAAGCAAATAGCATACCGTTTGATTCGAATATGTGGTATACCAACAACAAAGGGGTAGAAACTGGCCGAGCGGCTGGTTGTCCAATGATGACAGGTAGATGAGGGAATTAAGTCATGCAATTTCTGCGCACTCACTCCGAAATGTATCCTGTAAAACACCGACGGTATAGCATTTGTACTCGAAGCTAGTGAAATTGGCTGTAACTAAATCTTGGTCACCATTATGCCCCTTCGTAGCATCATGCAGCAACGCTCAAAAATGGCAATAATACTCCAAACACGACCGGACCTGCGCTTTATATAGAGTAAACAGCTGTCCCGAGGTAGAGTACCGCCACTTTTTAAGAACATCAATTTCCTAGCAGCTGCTTAAGTCCAGGACCCAAAGTTAAGGTTAAAGAAAATTTCAAGACGCTAAAAATTGAGTGGTCTGTGTATTTCCATGATATATCTAAAAAATAAGTGAGCTCAAAAAATTTCCGGATAGTTAATTAAAGACCACTTGGAAAATAATTCTGACCGCTCTTCTTTAGTCAGGCTCAGATATCTCGACATAATAAGCAGCCAGTGTGTTATTTAATTTTAAACCTATTGCCCTTTCCATTTTTCTGTGAATTTGGAAACAGTGAGCTGTACACATAATTTTGAGTTAAAAGTCGAGTGCTATGACAAACATGTTCGGCGCTGTTTTGTTGTGGTTCCCGATTCCTGACTTTAGTTGTTTGTTTTTACTGGTAACTAGGTATTAATAACATGCGTTTATTTTAACACAATAAGTATAATTAATTTTAATGTATCAATAAAAACATCTAAATATTCAAGCGATTGGTGCCCTGGAGCGGTATGTAACGCGGACGAAAAGTGAACAACGGGACACATGCAACTGAGCAAGAGAACGTCACGTCATCGCATCAGCCGCGTCTTACAATCTCGCTTTCGTTTATGTTGAAAAATGTTATTCTTTGAAATAAATGACACGCGCATCGATAAACCGGGGTCTTTGACAATACACCGGGCAATTTAGAGCTAATAAACAAGTAAAGTTATTCCTATACGTTTGAATACTGATTCTGATAACGCACTTAACGGGAACCACAGGGTTTTTGTTGTATGTTGTATATCATCACCACCATTAAAGACCTTCAAAAATCTACTGCTGTACATAGGTCTCCTCTACAAAACTGCCTGGTTCAATACCATTATCATGGTCATCAGGTTGTCACTCCATCTAGCGGGAGACCAACCTAGACATAAAAATAGGAGATATATAAGGAAAGAAAAGATTAAAAAGAAGAATAGTTAACACGGGAGCGAGAGGTGAGTAACAAAAACAACATTGAAGATTTTCGAGGACAGCTGCTTCGATCTAGACAGTGATGATGGTAAAAATGAGCTGTCTGGGATCTTGAATAGAGTGAAGGTGATCGTTACCATAATGTTTCTAACATATAATTCAATTGGACTATCATTAAATATAAAATTCAGGTGTGCGTGTAATTCTTCTGCTCCTTAACAGCTTGACTGATTTTGATGAAATTTTATAGTGTTATTTGGGGTGTACCTGGACGTTTCTTAGCTAAAGTTGGACGGTAGGTGGTGTAAATAAATAACCAGGACCAGAAAATTTACCGTGCAAAGCCGGATTGGATCGCTTGTATTGTATATTACAGTGTCAAAAATATTGCGCTTAGACTTAGACACTTAGTTTAAACTACAGAACTCAAAAAGTCGTTATCAATGGTAAAGGTTCCTCCGGATCAGTAGTATTGTTGCGCGCCACGATTAATACATGGTATATGGCGACAATAGTTACCACTAGTGCCCTCTAGTCTCGAGTAGTAGAACTAGGAGAGTCAAGAACATTCTAGACATTTCCATGGAACAACTTTCTAGAACTATCAACACCTAATCAATCAGGACCGATACGTACTCGAACATTCTAGAAGTTTTTTAGTAGAATAGATTTTTAGTAGATACAACTGCGAACTAAAGTGATCTGTAGTATAATTGTACTTTGTTATTAGTGTGGTTTTAAGTTGTAATTAGTGTTCTGTAATTTAAGTATCAATTCTGGTAATTCACTAGGCAGTTTTTAATTGTCTCGAAACCCAAGCTCGTAACAGTATCAATGAGCGTTCCTCAGGGCTTGGTTCTTGGCCCATTGCTGTTCTTAATCTATATTAATGACTTACCTTATATTGTAGGGCACCATCGAGATATAGTATTATTTAACGATAATACCTCTTTAATATTCAAACTCAAATGGCAGTCAATTAATTATGACGGTGTAAATAATGCTCTATCAAAGTTAGTAGAATGGTTTAACGCCAATAATTTGCTCTTAAACGGCAATAAGACAAAAGGTTTTTAATTTACAATACCTAATGTTAAATATTCGAATACCAA